AGCCGTCATTGTTGTTTTGGCGGGTCCGGGCTGGGGATTCGAACCCACCACATTAGGTGTACGTGGCTGGCGCCTTAGCCGGTTGAGCTATAGGCGCCGAGCCCATATTTGTGTTTTTAACTTCAAAAATCAAAATCGCTATAAGAAATCATTCTGTATTTGTTTTATTTTTTTTAACACCAAAAAGGAAGTTCTTAAAAATCACCTACCTCTTCTGCATATGATTTTCCAATTCCATCAGTACTACCTGTGACAACTGAAAAGGAAAAAAAAAAGTAATAGTTTATTTTAAGAAATAGAATAAAGAACCAGTCATAGTTAGGACTCACCAATTATACACAGAATAATACATTCGGTATATCTTTTCAGAGTGGCAGTCACCACTGTGTGTGTGTGTGAACTCACTGAGCTGTATGAGCTGTACCACTTAAGCACATTAGTATATATCTTATATCTTAATAAACTAATTTTTAAAATTAAGGGTAGTAAAAAGACATTGAGTAAGATTTAATCCTTCTGTGAGAAACCTTATTTCTTCTGTAACCTCAAAAAGTTTAGGCGGCAGGAATAATTGAGAATTATGATTGGTCCCATTATATCATGGTACCTTATCTCTGGAATCCTCTATGCATACTGGTTACAAGTTCAGAGCATGGGTGTCTGCTTCAAAAGATGAGAGATTCCCCTACACACAAATTCTCTAAATATGAGTGGTCCAAACCATTTCTAGATTATAAAAAAAAGTTAGAGGTAAAGTACGATTTTCTTGTATTTTTTTAAAACCGTTTCTTACAAATTACAAGAGATGGGCTCTAATTTTTTTATTCAGAAATTATGTCAAACACATCCATATTCTTTCTAGCCATATCGTTCATAATCTCATAGACTTTTACCATGTTCCTGGCTAAGCTGTCATCTTTACAGAATTTTTTAAAACTTTAGGACAAAATATATATATATATATATATCCAGAGAACGGTATGACAAACACCCAGGTAGCCAGGCCCAGCTTCACCAATGCTCAACTGAAAATAGTCTTACTTCATCTAACCTTCACCTGCTTCCTCTCATCTTGTATTAATTTCAAGTAAATCCCAAACATCGTATCACTTCATCCATAAATATTTCAGTATGTTACCTGCCATCAAAAATAACCACAATAGCATTATCACAATACTGAAACTGCAAATAATACCTTCTTCATAACAAATATCTAATCATGTAAGTTTTCCCAAATGTTTCCAAAACTTCTAACAATTCGTGCCAGTCAGGATTTAATAGCTTCCATACTGAAACTGGTGAACATGTCTATTCAATGTTTTAATCTATAGGGTCTATTTATCTACCTACCTATCTATACCTATTTATCTCTCTCCCCCCATCCCTAATTTATTTGTTGAAGATTATAAGGTCATAGGTTTGTGCTTTCTCAGCCTGACATTTGCTGAACACGTTCCCCTGATATCATTTAATACTCTTCCGTCTGTAGAGGCAGATACAGATGCTTGATCAAAGTCAGGTTTGATTTTTCTTGGTAAGAGAACTTCATAAGTGGTATCACTCATATTTACAAGAGGAAGCACACATCTGGTTATCTTTGTTATATTAGCAGCCACTGATGATCACTGCTGAGATTCATTATCTCATTGCACAATGCAATGGTATTGCAGAATGGTGGTATCTGAATTCAATCATTTATCTTCATCTATTAGCTAAAACATTCCCATAGAGAACCATGAAATATAGCTTGCATAGGAATATAAGATAAATGTTTGGAGTTTTTTTAACGATTATTTATCAGTTTTCAAAATAAATTGGTTCCCTGGCATCTTCCAAAGGTGACCCATTTGTTTTATCATTACAATTTTATTTGTAAGAAACATTTTTAACTCATAGATTTAAACATTTGTGGTAGAACCTCGGTATGTGAAATTGACCACCATATGAAAGTTCCTCCAACCTGTGATCAATTCAATTGTACTTTTCTGTAGCTTTCCGTCTCCTGGTTTTGAAGGCATGGAATCCAAATTTTATACCATATTCTAATGAACTGATTCACCAATGTCTCACAAGTGATGGATAAATATGTTCTAATTATGTTCAATTTTCTCTTCTTCCTTTTCTCCTTTCTCCAAGATCCCAGAACCTCACCTCCTGCCCCCTTCCGTGAAAGCCTGCTGAAGCCCCACCATCTCCATTGTTCCAGATCACTTCAAACAAAAGAAAGCTTTTGGTTTTCTAAACTCCCACACATGATGAGCACAAAGTAGGTGATCTGCAGGCGTTTGCTGAGTGAGTGTATGATGCCCAGCAATGCAATGGTCTTACAAACTGCAAACACACTAGACTTAGACTCCTATCTTGGGAAGATATCTGGTTTCTCAAAGGTCTTCACTTAACAAATACGGTATCTCATACTTTCCTACACTGACACCTACTAGCCACTGACCTACTGATTTACAAAGCCTTTTATACCCATAGTGTTCTGTTTAATACATTAACTACTGTGTGAGTTGTATTTAATTTAATGCTACTTTTGAGCCTGGGCCTCCTGAAGCATATATAACTCACATGTCTCTTGGCCTATCTTGTCCTAATAAAACACTGTGGCCCCAAGGAAAACATTTTTTTTCCTAGCGTGGCAGCCAATGTGTTAAGCCTACAATTGTGGAGCATGCAACCCATATACATTCATGAGTTACATTACATTTTGGTAACGATGGACAGCATATACAGTGGTGGTCCCATAAGATTACACTGAAGCTGAGAATTTCCTACCATCTAATGATGTGATGTTGTAGCCATCATAATATTAGAGTGCAGTGCTTTAATCGTGAGTTTGTGGTGATGCTGGTGTAAACAAATCAAGTGCACTGCCAGTTCTATAAAAGTATGACACATGTAATTACAGGAAACCTCCATAGCTGACCACCTCTTACATTGACCACCTCAAGTTGAACCAAATTTCATAGACCAGACATGCACCACATGTACTCCGTGTACAGTAGGCCTGGTTCCTTATGTTGACCACCTCTGTGTGTTGACCAGTTTGTTACAGTCCCTTGTGTGGTCAACTTACAGAGGTTCTACTGTATACAGTACATGATATTTGGTAATGATAATAAATGTTACTGGTTTATGTACGTAGTATGCCACATTTTCTTATTTAGAGCATATTTCTTCTACTTATAAAAAGAAACAAAAGTTAACTGTAAAATGGCTCAGCTCCTAAAGAGTCTGAGACTGGAGATTTGTTTGAGCCCAGGAGTTCAAGGTCATAGTAAACTATGATCCTGTCACTCCACTGCAGCCCAGGCAACAGTGACATTCCGTCTCAAAAAAAAAAAAGGAAAAGAAAGAAATTTCAAAGATTTATAGTCTCCTCCCCAGGACCCAGGGACAAGGGCCAGTAAAATTCTTTATTCTCATTAGATAAATATACACAGTTTACCCTTGAACAACACAGAGGTTAAAGGCATCAATCCCACACAGTCTCCACATATACCCTTTGACCCCCCCCAAAAACTTAATTATTAATAGCCTACTGTTGACTGGAAGCCTTAAAGATAACATAAGTCAACTAACATATTTTGTGTGTTATATGTATTAAATATTGTTGTCTTAGAATAAAGCTAGAAAAAAAGAAAATGATACTAATCCAGGTGTGGTGGTGCACACCTGTAATCCTAGCACTTTGGGAGGCCCAGATAGGTGGATAGCTTAAGCTTACGAGATTGAGACCAGCCTGAGCAGAGTGACACCCCATCTCTACTAAAAACTGAAACTAGCTGGGCATTGTGGTGGGTGCCTGTAGTTCCAGCTACTTGCGAGGCTGATGCATGAGGATCACTCAAGCCCAAGAGACTGAGATTGCTGTGAGCTTCAGGGTACACTGCCCAGGACAAAGGGGGGGGGGGAGGCGGGGCATGCAAGGAAGGAAGGAAAGAATTATAAGGAAGAAAGAATATATTTACTACTCATTAAGTAGAAGTGGATCATCATAAAGATCTTAATCCAGAAAATCCACAAGTCAAGTGTTATTCAAGGGTCAACTGTAGCTCAAGGGCCTACAGAAGTTACCTATTCTTCAAGTCCAGTTCACTGTACTACTAACATGTTATATTACCATGGTACATTGTCAAAAGTCATGGATCAGTATGATTAACTAAAGTCCACATCTTATTCAGCTTTCTTTTTTCATTACTGAAATGACCTCTGATTCAGGAAGCCACCCAGGATATCATTACATTTGGTCATCACATCTCCTTATGTGATAGCGTAAGAGACATTTTTAAATTTTGCTTATCTTTTTAAAAAAGCCTATATTCTAACTTCACGTAGTTTAACTGAGCATAGAATTTTAGGCAAGAAATAATTTTTAACAACAACCAAAAAAGTTTGTCTTCTAGCACAAGTATTATTTAAAAAGTGTTACTATTCTGATTTTGGATCATTCATATGTGACCTGCATTTTTGTCACTGGGGATTTTAGGATTATTGATCTTTAGGACTCTGTCATAATAATATTATCTTGGAGTAGGTGTTTTTCTATTTTTTGGTGCTAGGCATTGATGGGCCTTAAAATTCATGTCCTCAAATTCTGGAAATTTTCTTGTTAATTCTTTGATTATATGTTCCCCACATTTTTCTTTCTAGAATTCCTATTAATCAGAACATGGACTTAAGTTTCTCTATTAATTGTACTTTTCCTTCTGTTCTACTTTCCAGTAAATTTCTTCCATTCTATCTTCCAAACTATTTACCTTTTTTTGAGACAGAGTCTTGCTCTGGGTACAATGCCATGGCATCATAGCTCATAGCAACCTCAAACTCTTAGGCTTAAGAGATCCTTTTGCCTCAGCCTCCTGAGTAGCTGGGACTACAGCCTCCCACCGCCAAGGCTGGCTAATTTTTCTATTTTTAGTAGATAGGATCTTAATCTTGCTCAGGCTGGTCTTGAACTCCTAAACTCAAGCAATCCAGCTGCTTCAGCCTCCCAGAGTGGTAGGATTACAGGTGTGAGCCACTGCACACTGCCCAAATTACTTTTTAAATGTAAGTTGTTATTTTTTAATTTTGAAGAACTCTTCTGTATTTTGATTGCTCTTTCACATGCTCACTTTTTCTCTTCTGACACTTTTAAAAAAGTAGCCTCTTCTTATAGATCCATTGTCTTCTTTTATCTCTGAGGACATTAATCATATTGTTTACATATTTACATTGACTTCTACTCCTTAGATTCTATTTCCTCTAAGT